TAGCCCTACAGAAGTGGAAGCCTGACTAAATGCTTTCTATTCTGCTACTCTAATTAGAGCCTGCCTGGTACAGGAGAGATGACAGGAGACAGTAGGAAATTCCAATAGCCCAGTACTCCAGCACACCTCAGAAGGCAGCTAAGAACACATTAAACAACACAAAAACATTGAAGTCCATCAAGAGACAGCCACCTCACACTAGGACAGACAGGAAGGAGTCAAACTCTTCTACAAGCTACAAGGGAGGACAAGACAAACAGGAACGAATATTCCAGTTCATTATATTAAAAGGAGGGAAGAGAGGAAAGTAGTTAATTTAAGATTTGGTAGGAGTCATAACAGGTATTTTGTAAGCTTTTGCTATCTACCAACCGCTTTAACAGAAACCTCAACTTCATGTTGAAACAAGCTCACTCTCCACAACTTGCTCTTGTCCCTAAACTATGCAATTAAACAGAAGGCATATCCAATACCTTGTCACAGGAAGAACTTGAACTTCCATGCCACTTGCTCACTTTTACTTATTTTTGCTGAGTCCATTCCTCCTCTTGACCTAGAACTCTATGAGAAGCTTCCTTTTCAGAAGCCCTGTAACTTCTAGCACCTACCCTGCTGCCAGGCCCTGTCCATGAGGTGCAAACAGAGCTCACGGAGCCTATGAACGGCACCAAGGTGCATCTGCCAAGAGGAAAAAGAAGATCTGCACACAAGCATCTTCCAGCAACATTATTAAAACACAGCAGAGAACAAGGACAGAGTAACAGCCTGAAGAACACTCTGGAGTTTAAAAACAAACAGGCAGGGCAAGGCAACAATAACAGTGTTTAATCTGGCATTTAGGGAAAACAATTGTCTGAGCTTCACTTCCACAGTTAAAGGCCTCTCTAGAAACAGACTTCCTAAACCAAAAGAAACTTTTTGCAAGTTGTATATTTCTAAAGTAGAAGACCATTTTAATCAAAGGAAGTAGCTAATGATGACGAGATCTGAAAAGCAGCTTTTATATTCCAAGGTTAGTAGTCCTACCCTGCTCCCCCTAATGAGCTAGGGCTCACTTGGTCTTTTTATTTTTATTTTTTTAGGGGAGGAGGAGTGGGGGAGGAGGGTGTGGGCAGCAAAGGAGGTTTTATTATAGCATTTAAAAGTTAGTAGCTAATCCTATTATAAGGCTAAATACACCAAAAACGTTTAAGATGGGAGAGTCCTATCACAACTGAGTTAGTTGCTTTCATCACAGGAACACCCCCCCTTACAGAATTTCCACTCTACATGTTTCTGTTTAGAAGTCACCAAACATTCAAGGATACACAGGAAATTTTTGGAGGTTTAGTAGGCAAACAATTCTAACAGCCTCACCTGTACAGCACAGGTACCACATGCACCTGGTATTTAGTTTGCTGTCATGTTGGAACAGACTTTCTCTTAATCTTATCACTGTATAAATTCCTTTATTCACAGAAAGATTCCCAAGAGCACAAGGAAAGAAAAAAGAAAATAAGAAAAAAGAAGAAAAAAAAAGCTAGTGGAAAAAATGACATTGGATGCCCAAAGCTATAAATGGATACCTTAACATAAAACTATTATGCTCTGTTACAAGTCAAGTTAACAAAAGAAGTCAGCACACAGAGTTAGATTTCTTCTTTACATCAAAATTTCTACAAAATAGGAGAGAATACAATGCAATACACAAGTCCATAAATGCGAGATACAGTACAATTCACACTAATTTACAAATGGTTATTTACACTGTTGTATGTACATTTACAGCCAGACCTGGTTAATGTGAATCTGATCATTCCTTTTAAAATGCAAATCAAAAACTGCAAATGAGGGAATTCAAAGTTATGCAAGATCAAATTAGTTATCATTTAGAAATCTTTAATATTTATATGCTTTAAGAAATTAGACGCAGATTAACCAGACCTGTCTGCAGAAATGAGAAGAAAAAAATTCACACTGTTCTGCTTTACAAAAGCAACCAGGCCACTGTGGTCTATTGACTTGATGCTATTTATGCATGAATGCCACCACTAACAATCCTCTTCATATTTACAGTGTAGCTTTAACTACAGAAAGAACCATTAATTTTGGCATTCATGCCCTTAGCTTAACATAAAGGCAACAGAGTATCTTCTTGGCAAGTCACAGTCAGAACTAAGGGATGTTTCTAGAGCTCAGTCATTTTTTTCTGTCCTTCTTCAAGTATCTTAAAGTTGCAATAAAAAGACTGAGATAAAATGAGCCAGAACAAGTACACGTTCTCTAGTTTGGTGCTTTAGTACCTAACTTACATTCAGGATGTCCTGTATTCACAGTTTCAAGCTAGCTTATATCCTGCAATGCTAACTCACACTACCACTTCAACCTGCGCACACCTGCAGATATTCTTTAGCACGTGAGAATACCCGGGTGCTACTGGCGAGAACTGAGGTGGAGCAAGACTCAAGGTAACTGGCATTTCATTCTGGATGGTCTTTGAGTTATTTCCTCAGAACAACTTTAATCAGGAATTGTTTTAATCCATACTTGTCTTGAAAGAAAGCTGATGCAAAGCAGCATTTACATGTGTAAAATGAATTTCAACATGCAACATTAAAGCCTCTATCACTACTGCAAAGTTGACCACTGTAACCTGTGATAATCCTTGTGCTTCTTCAAAGTGGCTCAGGAAAAGCTTGCAGTATTTACTGTCTGCTTCAAAGTGCCTGTGTGGGATTCAGTGGAACTTAACTACTCCACAAAATGAGATGAGCTGCACTCACGAAGAGCTTTGGTTCTGCAGGAGCACGTTTCCACTCTTACAGAGTTTATTGCTACTTATGCTGTATAAACAAAACACTACTGAAAAAAATGACTGACTCCAAAATTAAACAGTCCTGGTACATCTAGAGGAAATATAGATCACCAATTGTTGGGAAAGTTAAAACAGCATCTCTAAGTGTTGGACTTCCCAGGACTTGAATGTCACAGCCTCTTTCAAGTATTTTATGAATACAAAGCAAAACTGCCAGAACAAGTCACCACTTGAAGAAAACAGTTATCGAGTTCTAAAATACTGTCAAATTTACTTCCAAAGAGAGCTTGCTAAACTTAAAGTGGACTACCAAGAAAGCAAGGAATTCTTCAACAGGAGCTTGTTGATCACATGTACAGGGATGAAAGGAAAAATAAAAATAAAAAAAATAAAAAAATATAAACAGAAAATGAATGTCTTCAGTGCCATTTCATGAGCTCTAGCAACATCCTTGATGACTGCTACAGAAGGAAAATATATCATTTTTACCTATTTGTTTCTATTTAGCTACCAAGAGAATTTGCCCCATAGCTTTCAACTAACAAATGCTAAAAAAGAATAAACTGTTACCTAATTTCAAGTTAAAAAGTCCAAATTCTCCCATTTTTATTACACTTTTAAGGTTTTGACTGAAATTAAGAAAAAAAAGGAGACAGAAATGAATATAAACCAGTTAAGACAAAAAAAAAAATCTTGCTTTTGTAAAATAACAGAAGGCCATTCAAAATGGTCTTTCAAGGTGAAAATTTTTCATTCACATCAATTGCTTTCTTTGTCCTGAATCAATCCAAGCTTTTGTAAAGCACAGATATATGCATGCGTATAGATGTACACATATGTATCCATATATGTATACATATGTATATGCACACACACACATATGCCAATGTGCTGTAAAGCAATTTTGAATAAATACCTTTCTCGGAGTCTGTACAAAAGGCTCCCCACAATATTTACTCTTCAGGTTAAGTTTGTGTTTACTTGTGTATATGCAACACACAGACTTTGTACATGTGGGCACTTAAGTGACCAAAGTGCAAAGTTTTTCAGAGTATAATCAGGGTCCAGTATACATCTGCCCAACTCCACACTGTACTGTTGGGTTGGTTTTTGTTTTTGAGATTTAAAGCCTCTTTTCCACTCCTAAACTTACTTGTTATTTTACTAAGTAAACATTTTCCTTTCAATTCACATTTTGTAATCCAGATCACTCTTGGTATAATAGCTTTAAGAAATAAGAAAATATTAAGTGTGTGATGCTCAAAGCTCCACTGTTCAAACCCTACATGTTTCCATACTATCTTTTGAACTGGAGACTTTGAAAAGCAACTCAAGCAACTCGCTACCACAGACTAAAAGTTAAAACATACCAGAAACTGCAACTACAAGACCAAGCATTTAAGACTCGGATCCAAGGTTAAAAGATGACAAAGCAGAAGACATCGTCAACACATGAACTGTAAACCTAAATGTCTTGCTCCCCAGTGCAACAGGATCTCTGTTTACTAATCTTCAGTTCAATAGTCCATTCTGTTTGATGCTGCTGAAGTACTTCAGATACAGAGACCAGAATAGTGTTCACTTTGAATCAAGTTTCAAAATGGAATACGGACTTTAGAATAGTGGTCGTTGGTTTCTTCTTTTTCTTTAAAAAGAAAAAAAAAAAAAAAAAGTACTCTTCAAAAACAGGCAGCCTTCCCACAACAGTTAAAGATGGTACAATTCCCATCTAACACTGTGACAGTTCACATTCTCAAAGAATCTGATGGCCACAGAACTTCCACATCTCTACAGCTTAACACACCAAGAAGGAAAATCAAAATGTCATTTACCAATTCAGCAAACAGGTTGATTCTTATACAACAGAGAAATACCGCAAGATGGAAAGCTACATTTTTTTTTGATTCTCCTCCCCTCTCACTACTGCATGTTGGTCATATTTTTGGAGTATATTATCGGTGATATTTTGCTCGTATAGAACTAATAGATTAATATTCTCTGACCACGTAGTTCTCTAATATAAGTTAATGCAACTTCAATAAAATAAGTTGTTAAACAAATCCTTTGGAACAACTTCACTGTTTGCACCCAACTTTCACAAAAACTGATGAAAGCAGCAATGGAATCATGTTAAACTTATAATAAATAATTCACATACAACATATGTTAAATTACAAAAAAAAAGGATTAAATTGCCATTTCTACAACCTTTTATAGATTTAGCAAGTTTCTAATCCATTTTATATCAACAGCAGTAGGTATGCTCCTCATATTAAATTTAACATTGAAGGACTTTTTAGAGGCATTATTTATAAAGCAAGAACCACCAAGTGAGCATTAAAAGAACTTTAACAAATGTTTAGCTTTTTTTCCAGTATCTGTTCACAGAAGATTCAGGCATTGTCTATCCACTTGGTAAGATTCTTCCTCTTCATTACTCAGGAAGAGTTAATGTCATGACCTCCAGCTTCATTTTGAAATACTGGTTAAAACGAACAATTGCATACCTAACAGGGAGACAGAGAGATTAAGTTAAGAGCAGATCATTGCTTATATAAATGGAGCCCTACTAGGACTAATCAGAACTGCACCTAACCCAGCACCTTTCACAGCAGCTTCTGAAGGAAGAAATCAAGGACTGAGCAATCACGTTATTATTACAATATTATATTATAAAACCTCTATGTAGCATAATATAGGCAAATAATATAATATATAGTATATGTACAGTATAATATAATCACAATATTATATTATAAATCCTCAGAAGACTCGCCTAGCTTGCTTCAGTTTGGAGAGGAGCTAATGTCCAGGGGTTATCAGAGGTAGTGAATGGAGGGCTGTACTTAAACAAGCTCAGGCTTTGAGGATTGAAAGAAAGAATGTTGTTTCAAAACTAGTTTAGAAACTGCAACAAAATGTTCCGTGTCCTTTACCTTGTTTTTTTGTGCCACCTAGTGGTTCCTATCAAGTATTTGTACTTGAGACTGAGTAAGTTTTAAAGTTGGGGCGGAGGTGGGTGGGAAAGTCAACTTTCTGTATTAACTCTTTAAGAGCAGAATTAAGCCCAGTAATCTGCCTCAGTCATTAATTAAAAAAAAAAAAATCTAAGCTAAAGCCAAGCCTTATACTGAGGGAAGGTGATTAACTTTCATCATCTCTTCCAGTCCCTGATGGATAAATTCTGCTGTCTGTGGTGAAAGATTAAGAGAAAACGTGCCAATTCACTTGAAAGGAACCATCAACTAGTGCATCTCCAAATAGAACCAAGTGTTCATTAGCATTTGGGAGATTCCTTACACAGGAAAAGGGGTAGCAATTTCTCAAATCAACATCCCATGCAGTTTTGTGCATCCCAAAGTTTTCTCTTAAAAAAAAAAAAAAATAGTAGGGTCATGCAGAACAGGTCTGCTGTTTTCTGATACCTGGGATGCTAGAGTACACAATTTACAGAAGTCTCTTCCATTCTCAACTGTTCTGTGATTCTCTGAAATGCACTAACAGAAGGAAAAGAAAAAGGGGGGGGGAGTGTCCCCATGTCGAAAGAATACAGCATACTTACCCTAAGAAATCAAAATCAATGGTAGAATATTTGGCTTGAATTAGAGCCCACAATCCCCAAAAGAAGTGGGATGCCTAAAGGAAAAAGTTAGTAGCAACAGTTTAGCACTATATAAATATATATATATATTCTAGCATTGAGACAAAAATATCAAAATATTTTTGATAAAATGTTATTTTATCACCGACTTGGATAAAGATACTAAGTCATCAGCATTTACAAAAATTTCTCAGCTGCTCCAACCTTACTTGCTTTTCCAATCCAAAAATGTAGCCTGTTTGTATGGTTCAGATTGAAACTATGACTTACATGCACAATATGGTTATTAATATACTTTAATAAACTGTGGAATATGTATATATACACAAACCCACACTTATACATAGACAAACACATACATACACAAGCATTTATGTATACACACACACAATGGCCAAGAGCTGGATAATCTCCCTGTGAAAGATGCATTTAATTTCTGGACCACCCACATTACAAATGATCCATTTCAGACTTCTATAGATAGTTGCTTACAGTAATTACCTAAATTGCTTCCTGAAGCTCACATTTACCAGCCCCGTACTTAAATGTGCATCTTTACCAGGCACATACCACATATATACATGCACGCATGCCTGAAAACACAGCTTAAACTGCAACCACTGCATGTGCAGGTGAATCTCTTCTCTATCTTTCATTTTTACTAACTTCATCTGATGGCAATCAGTCTGTAGCTTTATATCGGCATTCATTTATTTTAGTCTATTTTTTCTTAATAAAACCTCCAGCTTTAAATAACATTATATCTTGTGTTTGGCTGTATTTGTACACTCTGTGTGGTCTAGTTCTAAACAGAATTCTACCCTCTTAAACACTGCTATGAGCATAGCTTAGAACTGACAAACAATGCTAAATTTTTAAAACAGCCCACCAGCCTAAATAATTGCAAATCTAACTTCCCCTACTGAACAGGACAACTGAATTTTATAGTAAGAGCTGGCAATATAAATCAATAGAGTAAGAGCAAACAAGATGGTATTTTCTAAATTAAAACTTTTTTAGTAAGTCAGCTTGCTAGAAAACAAATATTTTCTCACCGCAGTCACTAGCTTTTTGCAGAAAACTGAAAGAGGACTGAAACAAGGGCATTTTGGCTTCTTTGCTGTAGTCCTCCTAGGCATAGTTTGGCACTTTATCCTTTAGTTTTATCTTATTTTGCTTTTTACTATCTAGCTACTGGATGAAAGATAATGTAAACCTGTATTAACCTTGGAAATAAAGCACAGATACGTTTGAAGTAACACCTGGAAGAGCAGACAGGCAGCTTAAAGTTACTTCTAACAGTCTGTATACATGTATGTCTGTATCTCTCTGCATCTATGTCTCTCTACATTTATAGCAGGGGTATTCAATGACTAAATGTCACACGTGTTTATATATACACACATATCCCCAATGAGACACTGAAATTGTATTGAATTCTCTGAAGAAGGATCAAAATGAACCTGCTCAGTCCTTTCAAAGGGACAAGATGAGGGAGCAAAGGTTTCAGATCCAGTCTACAGCTGACCAATTGAGCAGAGAGTCCTTAGAGCACACAAGGCAGGAGGAGCAGGGGGTAGACTCACCCAATCAGGTCTAGGCTTCACAAAATTTCCTAGGAAGCACAGGGCAATACACAAGCAATTGTGCTGAAATTTACATCACAGAAGTGACTAAAACCCAGCCTGGAAGAAACTCCAGGCCCACCAAAACACTGCAGGCAGAGTAATTGAGACAGTACTGAAAGACTCAAAGGTGACCAAATTATCTTTAGAAAACTAAGTATCTTAGTTTTTACTCTCTAAAAATAAAGAGGCTTTTAATTTCCTGAGTGTTATACGTCTTTGTGGATCACTTCCTTTCTCTTCTGCCTCCTTACAAGTTCAATGCAGACCCACCAAACAGCTGTTGACAACCTGAGGATCTGTCACACTAATGAAGAGCAAAAGAAAATACTTGGTAAAAGTCCATCTCTACTTTTTTCCAAATACTGACTGCATCCTTTGCTTGGAATAGTCTACAGAAGAATCATAACACAACAAAGTTGTGAGGCAAGGTTGTAAACTCTGAGGTTAAAATTTGAAAAGCAAAAAGCCTTGTGGTATTGTGCTTTTAGTCTAAAATTCAGTCACCCAGTCTGAAACAAATCCAAAACCTACTGCTTCTTAGAAGGCTTGGCACAAATGATACAAATACTACACACTCCATACATGAAAAAAAATCTTAAAAATGAATTGGCAAGTATTATCTCAAGCAACAGTAACGGTGGTCTGGTAAAGGTGAAACAAGGAAGATCCTTTGGCAATCATATTAAGAGAGGAAAATCCAGGGACCGAAATTCCGATTTTTTAAAATGATCAATTCACCCTTTGTTCTCTCTCTCCCTCCTGTTCCCCTCCATCCCACCCACCCCCAATTTTTTTAATACAGGGGTCAGCTGGACTAGAGGCTTTGAGAACTTGCCTCTCATAGTTCCTTTACCAGCTCATTTCGATAGCCATCAAGGCACAAGACACAGCTTTATTTTCTCTCTGACAATGGGGAATGGCAGTCAATCTGATTAAATGGACACCATGCTTGACCTGAGCCTTTTCAAGGAAAATCAGCCTTAGGAGAAAGGTCAAGGGGAGCAGAAGCAGAGCAGTCACACACAGCAAAAGCAGGTCTTGCTGCATCAAGAGTCCACAGGCATATTTAAACTGATCAAAAATGACTTTGCCTAGAAAATGAAGTCATAAGATATAATCCCGTGTGGCCTAGCATTATCTGTCTTCTAGAGATAAAATGGATTTGAGTGACTGCTTCATGCATATGTGAGCAGCATTTGAGGAACAGGCATGGTGCCATCTAAGAAGTGAGAGTAAAAGGCCAGCTCAAAATTTAAATAAAATGGGTTAGGGAAGTTTTTCTTCATATACAATAGCACACAGAGTAAGAAATTGTCAATCACACTCATCTATAAAATAGCAGGCTTCTCTATGGTATTTGATACGTTTTAATTTATAAATATTTACCAGTGCAAACTGATTGACTTGAACATAAAGCACTTCAACCTCCTTCTCACTGACTTCTGTACCAAATCCTTTGTATTCTTTGTAGGCCTCAAGGTAAGATCTCAGCCATTGCTCCTGTAACTCTCTGTTGGGATAAAGGCTGTAGTCTACCTCATTTACTCCTAGAAAAAGGATAAAAATCCCTGTCAGGTTTTCAGAGCATCATCATAATAAAATCCACGCACCACAGAAGTCAAATACTTATGTGGACAAACATAAACATCCATATATTTACTGTGAGATGCTTTTATTAGTTACTGATTGGCAAGTATTTCCTACACAAGATTCAACTTAGCAAGAATTATCTTGTATATATTTTCAGCCACACACATACTCCATTTATACTTGACATACAGCAAGTTTAATGTTGATGGAAGCATCTGCACTATGAAACAAAAGCCCTCCCACAAATATTAATGCATTTTGTATAAAAATGGACTTAAAGGCAATATTATCAAAGCTGGATCCAGTCATTTTCATATTGGCACTGATTAATCTCATGTTTCCAAGACAGAAGCTTTACAAAAAGTCTATCCCTCCCCTCCACAGGGTACTGGTAGCATTAGAACTCTTATCTCTGTAGCTAGCCTTTTGGTCCTGTTTTTCCTTTACAGCATAAAGCTACAAATCTACCTAACTGGAGATGCTCAGCCTCAGGCCATGTGCAGTTTGCCAGGATTCCCAATCCTGGATAACAGTTCATGCCCCCTGGCTCTTCTTTCTGGAGAATTTAAGATTGTATCTTGTCTACAATGCTGGATAAAAGCTCTTCTGTTTTCAATAATCTGCTTTTAGCCATCTCAAGGCCCCTCCGCTTTGTCTCCCTCCCATTATTTCACTGGGCGCTGTGAAAACACTACATGCTTTCCCAGAAACCTTGAGCTTAATAATGTGCATGTGTCATCAGCAGTGTTATACAAAGCACAAAGTACTATTTATAAACACTGCAGGCCTCTAACACTTGAACGCTTTCCTGAAAGCAAACAAACAACTGCAAAAAGGCCAAATTTCTGCTTGACCTTTGCCCTTCCCTACTCGTCAAGCATAGTTGTTCTGCAGAAACAAAAACAATATATATCTCTTATTTGTGTGCAGAATCTTCTTAGGGTACTTACTCCTTTAAAGACTTGCTTGGACATTAAAGAAGTTCCAGATGACAAATCAAAAATTTTCAAAGGCATTTTTTAAAGAACTTCAAAATAAATAAATAAATAAATAAATAATCAAAGGGCATCATCAGCCTGCAGAATTGTCATTTATGCATTCTGATACTATCAGATGAACAGCTAGAGATACAGATAGAGACAGGAAGATGCATACACACACATACATTCAGTGCATGAAGCATAGCATGAATTGTTTTCTTACCAAGGTAACCTTCACCTTAGAAATGCATGTTTTACCTGCAAATTCATTGAAGTGATTCCCGATGTCATAAGCCAAGTAGTTGTATCCAGAGTACTCATAGTCTATAAATTGTACATCACCTATGTGAGACACAACGACAGCAACATCAGAGACCACATCAAAGAAGCCACAGCCCTAATCCTTTGGCGCCTTTGAAATTATCTGTGCTCAGTTGTTGCGTACTCAGACATTCCAGGGTAAGACTGTGAATTTTACGATACAAGATTATCTTCAACATTCATTTAAAGAAGCTCTTAAGTAATTGCCTAAAGCTTACAATACAGTTATTTTTAAACTATGAATAGAAGAAGTTCAATTTTAACTTCTACCACATGAGGGCATCTCTTGCTTCTAAAATAAGAGGATCCATTACCTAAACTTTAACTATTTTTTCCCCCTCCTTAAATAGCAGCCCTGCTTATTCTCTCACAAGCATGTAGTCAAGGTGGATTAACATGTTGTAGCTTGTTGGTATTACCCCCCACCAACAGTACTCTTGCTTTATTTATTTTTCATTTTTACTTAGCTTAAACTAGTCAGAATAAAGTGACAGAAAATGCTCGAGTGTTTGAAGGTAGGTACCTTTATGTAAGAAAGAACTGATAAAGCAGCAACATGCCCCATATGCTTCCAAATTACTTCTATACTACACAGTGTTTACAAACAGAGAAGCGGGGGAAAGTGCAGGAGAAAGTCATTCAAGGTGGTACAGCCTTGAACCTCCATAGAAAGGTCTGTATCACAGCAAATTATCAATACATCAGCAAGTTGGAATAATTAAACTGTGTCTCACATTTCAAGGGAAACACAGTGAAATTACTAAAAACATCAGAAAGGGAAGTGTGAGGTAACTTAAACAGCTGTTCACAGTAGAAATTTAAAATATAAATCAAAATTGCAATCTTGTATTTCCCACTGTTATGCTAGAAGGAACAGCCTTCATAGCCAGCACCACTCCCATTCTACACTTTACTTTGACTATCTGCATATTTATTCAATAAACACATATACGCCTTCTATTACAATGAATAACCTTATTCATGCAACTTAAAATATCTTACAGAGAATAACACTAATGACCACACCTTCAGGACAAAAAAAAGCAAGAATAAACTTGAACTACATTAACTTTTTCCTGGACTGTAAGGATTGTAACTCTCGGTAAAAAGATTCATGGATACTGCACATACCAAATACAATAGCTTTGCCATAGGGAAATGTCCCAAGCAAGTTATCACAGGGCAACTGCTGCAGTTTCTCATATCTATGCAGTTCATCTTCACCATGTTTGAAACATTACCCCATTCGCGCTTTTCATGTTTTTATATGTATTCACCTTCTTATGTAAGTGCTTAAAAGGGAAATTAAGCCCCACAACACAAACAGAATAACTTAGTCACAATCCTCCAAGTTTGCTCTTTCCTCCACAGAAAGGGAGGATTGTGTACCAAGCTTATGAGGTTAAACATATTAGGCTCTGACAAAGCAACACAGGACTGACCTGCAAAGTAGCAAGCTGCTCCCAGGGAAATCTTGTTGGCAGTACAAAATTCAGGTTCTCTAGAACACTAAAGCAATTTTATAACAGCTGCAGCCACGATCTTATGAGACAGTCACAGTTTTAACTTCTCCTGCTACTTGACTGACACATTCATACACTTGCATGTTTTCTTACTGGTTCTTTAGCTCAGGTTTGTTTTAAACAAACATGCAAGTTACAAGCCAGTAAAAATTACACAGCCCAACCCTGATTAGTATTCTGCTACACAGCTGAACTACTAAGTCCCTCCCCCATTATTTAATATTGCTTGTATACAGAGTTTCTTTTTATCAAGTAAAATATCAATCTCTCTGGAAAATATCAAAGTAATATATACTTTAAATTAAGTATTAAATTTGGGCATTAAAATAATTCGAATATATCTTTAAAGCCTGTATGCTTTTTTAAAATACAGTTATCCTTTAGATCTTTTTTCCAGATATAGTTAATTGTAGTCTAAATTAAGAAAATCCAATCTAACAAAGTACATATGAGGCTGTTACCAGGCTCTGCGCTCTCCTATGGGGAGGTGCATGTGAACAAATGGTGCGATAAACCTCCAGGCAGTGTGTTTAAGTAGCACGGCGCACACCACCACGGGGCAGCAACAAGGGCATAGTTAATCTGTAGCAGATGAAGAACATTTGGCAAACTTGTATTTGACAAGACAAAACTTCAAAAAGAAAAAGTCCTGCATTTTTGCTGCTCTCTTTCAGAACCATGCTGCTGTGGAACTCAACCTTAAATTTAAATTTTAGCATGAAACAGAGATGCACGAGGCTTCCACTAAGAAAGCAAAGACCTTGGGTCTGTCACTCCAGGAGTCTTTTGCATACATATTTCAGCTACCTTGCTTAAGGAGAAACAGAAGAAATTTTGCATTAAATGTCAAAACGTCCACATCATTAGAAGTTACTCTTAAGACAATCTGCAATTCATAGAGCAAAGTTACTTCTAAAAAATATGGTTTACATTGGTAGATAATCAGCTAGCTTTTGTTTTATAGCAGTATAAAGAATCTGTTATATTCCATCAAAATCACTAGGAGCAGGCAGACCCACAACAAACACTAAATAGAAGCATGTCTATTTTATGAAGTCAAAGGGTAGTTAGAACTACACTGTCTCATCTCTCTGGACAAGCTATTTTCATGAACAATGATAAAATGTTCAAACATTCTTAATATCTGAAAGTTGAAAATAATTGCTTTTACCATGTGTTCTATTATCGTAGACAACATACAATGTAATGTATGCCACTACATAAAGATACAAAACAGCAGCCACATTGTGATTTACTTCTGAAACGCATTTTTAAAATACTGAAAGAAGTAACCAAGAGGGCATCTTCAGTTCTCTGAAGAGAAGTTACAAGGTAGGAAGGTGATGAGACCCCTCTTTCTAGGTGCTCTTCATTTCCTATGGTTTAGCAAGTTTAACACTTTCCATGTGCAAGTCCTAGCAGCAGTTATCGCAAGAGAAACACGTATCCCAAGCTCTCCTAACCTGCTTATGAGGTAAACCAAAGAGGTCCTACAACATAGCTTCATTAAAAAGAATGATCTAGGCTATGAACATATTTTTTAAAAAGTACACAAAAGGGCTACACACCCAAAGAATAATTTTAGCTATGGGTACCCAATAAACCTTTGCAAAATAACATAGGTTTTAGATCAAAACCACAAGCCTTAAACATACCTCAGTCTTCAGAAGCACTGAGCACCCACAGACTCCTACCAAAGATCATAGAAAACATTGGGTAGGCAGAGGGAATAAACAAAACAAAACCAGCCATCTATCTACACTCTGAATTTCCTGGCAGATGTTTTTAATAGATTTTAAAAAGAGCACATATAGATACAGGGGAAAATAAAATAAAATAAAAAATAATAAAAAACAAAAACAAAAAAACACCCAATACTTCTGATACTTGGTCTTACTGAATAGCAAGTATTTGAATACTCTTAGCACACCAGGTATCTTTCAAACCTCCCACCATAAGTTTAAAAAAAGCTTGAAGATCATCACAAGGTCTATATATAAATAATATCAAGCCGTAAGCAGACTGAGTATTTTGATGTTCAAATTGTAATTAACAGCACAATGAAGCACTGAATTTTCTTTGAAAAACAATTCACACTCATAAGCTATGTAAAGCAACACTTGCAAATTTTCATATCCTGAGTGACTTACAACGGACATTAGCAAAGCAGCAAGAGGCACAAGTTCTCCAAGCTGCAGCGTGAACAAATTCAAGTCAGATGAGTGACACACTCCACTAAATAGAGGCATTTCTCAATATGCTATTCCAGCCTTTGAAAAATAGCTTAAGGACACAAGACTGGCTCTTCTTAAAAACAATCATGTGGCACAATTACCTCCCTTGCAACTTAACATGAACTTAATTTGGAGGACAGATCTAAAGCAAAGCATGGGGACAAGCCACAACCACCATTTTATCTTCACTGGACCAGACCTCTTGTATCTGTTGCCAGTCTGTAGCTATTATTTTTTCCCATGCCTACTCTTAAGCAGTTTGCTCACAACATAATGGATGAAGTATTGGTAGTTACCGGTTTTAACAACAAATGACTTATTTTGTTTGTGCCAGCAAGATGAACACTACCTGCTTTCATCCAAAAGTTTTGAGTAAAAGGGAAAGAAGAAGAAGAAGAAAAAAAAAAAAGTATTTAATCTAAAATATTGATTTTTCTCTCAGCTCCAGCTTAAGGTCACCAGGATCTCCCTCATATACAGGAACCTTTCTAGATGAATTGAATAAATTTATTAAGATCTTGGCAACACCAAAACTGTTAAACTAACTTCAAACAGTTAAAAGGTATACATAATGTGCCAGTGCATCTTTAAAGATAATATTTTCTGCACTTGCAGAGTTACTTGTATACTAACATAACATTTTCTGTTGCTAATATGAATTGCTTGAATTCTGTTTAATTACAGTGATAGCTGAACTTCTACTTCAAAAAAATGTGTTCCTCATCTTAAGATTATACTAAAACGAAAGAGTAGTCTTGGTTCTTCGCAGTACAAGAAATGGTTTTTGTAGGACAAATATTCTACAAAGGGCATTGAGGTTTGGTTACTACAGGAATGATACCTGTTGGACCTGGATTGCAGGTTCCACTTTACAGTACAATATACATATGCAACATTCAAGCATGCAAGTTGAACAGTCTCCATATATTAATATTTCCAAGGCTTTTTCCCAGTTGTTTATAGCTAGCTTCAGGCCAAAGTGCTTTACATACCTCCCTCCTCCCCACCCTGTCCCCAAACACTAAACACTCACACACTGGTTATGTAGGATTGCTCATAAGTGATGCACTGCTGGCATTGTTTTTTCCTCCATTCTGTTTGTAAAAAGAAAAGCATATAGCATTTGCAAATTTAAACCTATTGACCATGACAGTGAGCCTTTTAAAGGAAATCTTCATGTTTTGTTTTGCTTTGTAGGATGGTTTTACTATGAAAAGTGACCCTCCTTCCCTTTAAAAAAAAGGGGGGCTGATTTTTTCCTTAATTAAGTAGAACTATAATCTACAGTCGCACCTAAATAAAAAAAAAATTAAAAAATAAAGAATAATTTAAAAAAAAGTGTCTTTATAACTAGAAGTGCTATCAACTGCCTGCCCTTGAAGAATGGAGTTACTCAGATAGAAGACCTATAAGAGCGTGTATCTGTCTGATGCAGAGAGTGGTTATACACAGAGCCAATTTTCATATGAGAACCAACTCCAGCATTTTGTTAATTTTTATCTAGAATTTAAGGCACAAATCTGAAGAACTCAAAAGACCAATGATGACTGAGGAAGAACACTTCAGTTCCATTCGAAGTCATTTATTTCACACACTTTTGGTTTATATACCAGACTGATCTCCAAACTGTTAGAAACATGTAGAAAGCCACAAAAAAAAAAAAAAAAAAAAAAAAAGTCTAAATAGGGTCTGGAATATCTGAATGGATTTGTTGTACTCAGCTGAGTCTGGATATTTAAGGATATTTAAGTGGGGAAAAAAAGTACAGGTAAACTAGAAATGTAAGCATTTTTCCTGCACCAAATCAACTTCAGCATCCTAAGATTGCTTTGTGTGTTTGTATTAATACCCCTGCTTCATTTAGTAACCAAACCTCAAACCACTAAAATCAAGCAATTAAAAAAAAAAAAAAAAAAAAACGCCATGGGTTTAAACAGAAACAAGTAAGTTTCTGTATATGGCATCTTTTTTAAAAAAAATGCAAATTTATGAGTTCAGTTTACTATAATAAAAACAAAAACATAATTCACCTTTGCCAAGACGTGTACTGCCTACAACAGTTTAAAGAAAATATGTATTTACAAGAGAAACCTTCAACATGTATCTCATACAGAGTAGAAATCAAACCACTGAATGCAGTGTCAAGTATCACTAAGATGCTACATCACATAGACCTCTTCCTTGAAAACAACACGGTCTGACAAACCAGAATAATGCAGAGATAAAGAGCAGATACTGTCTTCAGGTTATTTTCAATGCTTACATGATCCTTCCGGCCCTCCCTGGGCCCCTGTCAACTCCCCTCCCCACCAAACTATGCACACTAAAATTGATTTACTGGAAACAGTTACATACTTTAAAGCCTTCAGTCCTAAAGGCAGACTACATATTAACAGATTCATTAAGGAGAAAGCAAGAACTTCAAGAATTTTCTTTATATGACAGCATATAGATGAGAATTAGCTAATTAAGCAAATAATTCTTTACACTAATACTACCACTACAATGAAATTTAGAATGTCCAAGTTTCATTTGTTGCTATCAGTAAAATAACATTACCAGCTTAGCAAATACTATTATAGAATAAAGCAAAATAAACCAATACTTACTGCTATGTTCAATACCTACCTTGTTTCTTGTTGTAAATAATATTCTTACACAAGAGGTCATTGTGACAGAGTACCACCGGCGATCCTAAATTTGACAATCTTTCCTTCATCCAGGCCATCTCTTCCTGAAGGACTTGAGGACTTGGAATGTCACTTAAAAACCTTTTTTGGTATAAGATATTACTATTTAGTACTGGGCTCCACAGCAAACAGTTGCAATGAAATAGCTTTGCTATTATTCTCTATCTTCTTATTTCCAAGAATTCAATATAACTTTCTCTCAAACTAGGACACTACTTCCCCTGCCTCCCCTTGAGTCAAATCCTGACAATTCCCTTCTTCCCGCCCAAAGTTTTCTCTTTGGAGACTGTCTGTGCTGTGAACCATAATACTTCAAAACTCAGAAGAAGGAATGAGTGAAATCCTGCACATTTTCAAAGACTATAAGATTAAAAGGGGTGTAGTAGCATGATTTCCATTCACTTAATGCTTGAAACATTACATTCTTTTCTTCAAATAGATTACATTTTTTTTAATATTACATGTATCTATACAAATGAAAGCATCATTTTTTCCCCTCAAGTAGAGCAAAACACTCCAGTAGTTATTTTGTGTTTCAGATTTTCAATTAGTTGCTCAAATTTTTCAGTTTTCTTGAAAATTTTATCTAGTAGAAGAACGTTAAATATAGCAAGTTTGGTAGTGGATTTCTTAACTGAAATGCAACAAATAGGGCAACTGTAGGGCAGTGTTTTTCAAGAAGTTTAAGATTGTTTAAAGTTGGAACCTGCTTATTGAAAAGTATGAACTTTCATGATACTGTACAAACACTTCCAAATTACAGTTTTACACTCTGATTTGCCCTTCCTTCCTGAAAAATTTGCCTTCAACTCAAGCTTTAGATTACAGCACAGAATCTAGCTTTAGATTACAGTATAGAATTTAGGTTAAGCACTGCTCCTAATATCTTTGTTCCTCTGATCCCGGTCTCCCAGTGACCAGGGACTCATACTACGTCATAAATACTCTTTTCCTCCTTATCCTGATAAGGAGTAAGAAGGGTCAGGGTCAGCATCAGGCAGGCAAACAGATGAAAAATAATTTACCTTTTATTTACTTCCGCATCTGTAAATTCCGTAGGTATAAGAGAAAAGTATTTCCCCATCTTCAACCAGAGGTTAGATTTAGGAATCCAACCATTGTGTGCATGAATAGTATGGATTTTAGCAAGCTGTCTCGCAATCAGTCTGAAAAAAAGTTTGATTTAATGTTACATTTGCAATAGATGGGACAGTTCTTATCACATCTTTTCCTATCAGTGAGACAATAACCTGTGCAATAAGGAATCCAAGGAGGCTATGCACAAGGCCAAGTGTACACAAGTTTAAGGACAAGCCTCCTGCAAGACTGAAAGGTCTTTAATAGCACTACTAAAAGCTTGACAGGGGGAGGAATGCATTAATTTGCTTACAAAAGGTACTTGAGCTGTATTCACTGCTATTCTGCAACCTGTGCATTTTAAGAAGAATTCACTCAAGTTAGTTGCAATTTTTAGACATGAAATACAATTTCAGTTCATGTATGAAACGTGAACTGTTTTAAATCTCAAAACCTTTTCAGTTCACTGCCAATACCTTAAAGAAAAAAAAAAAACTAAGTATCAATGGAAGACTACTTTGAATCTATTCACACAAAACAGAGTATCTTTGAAACCAAGAGTGAGCGTTCACTTTAATCAAATACAGCCTCCTACGCTGAACCATGCAGCATGTTAAGTAAATAAATTTCCTGATGGTAACATGCAACTGTTAAGGAACACCCTGGAATAAAGCCACCTTTAATATGAACTTTGCTGCTTCCCCAGAAGGCTGCTACATATGTTCAGAACCAAAATTCCATGATAAACCAGAGAATAATGAGCCCTCATACAGTAAGCACATTATTAAATGCTCCTATGAACTGCAGTAAGTTGATTTCCATCTACTCTCAAACTAACATTGAGATCATCTGGGCCTGACAGAACACCATAAATGCATAGAAGAACTTGATAAAATAAAAAAATCTTACCTGAAAATATCTGGATTGCATACATGTTCTGGATCCAGTGCCTCTCCCTGCATGAACTCGTAGCATAGGCCATTATTGAAAGTACAGTATAGCTGAGGGGCACAGCCATGGGCCTGCAGCACACGGAAACTCTTCACCTCCTCATCTCGATCGACTAAGAGCTCCGTCTTATTTCCATAGATTCTGACTAGAACCACATCATCCGTTATGTCACCCACGTAGCAGCCAATGAGTTTATTGGTGATTCCATCAGTGAACAGCTGAAAGGGGGAAAAAAAAATGCATCAGTTACTTAACTCTACATTTGTATTTTGAACATGTAGGAGAGGGAAGAAAATGCAGGATTTTTCCTCCCAGGCTCACAGAAGACACATCTTTACTAGACTGAGAATTAACAAAAGAAAAAAGAAAAAGAAAGAAGAAAAATAAAAAATAGAGGCAATTTCAAATATTTTCCATGTAACACATGAAGATGGACAAAGAAGACACGAAAACATGCTACAGTGAAATACAGAATAACCAGTGCAAAAATCAGCAACTGAAAGCTCACTACTGTGAAATAATTTGTCATATAACCACTCTGAAAACAGTACATTAAAATGGCTGAAATAAAAGCAGAAATCCTGTATCTTAAACAGGCATGAAAATCTGCCTGGCACTAAGACATGTCACATGAAAACAAAGTTCTGATGAAGATCAGCATCTGCTGATCAACGCACGAGTATAAAGGGTATGTCCAGAGTCCTATGCTACTCTCTTCGAAAACCAGAATTCAGATCAGACACTCAGTTTAAATTCTGTGATTACCTTCCCACTGGCCTGGAGATTCTCCTGCTTGAGAATGACAATTCCTGAAGTCGCATGCTCTGGCTCCTCTACAGTTCTGAGAAAGTACTTCAAGAGCAACATTCCAGCTTTCAAGCTCAACCATCATCCCAAATTTAAGAGGTTAAGGGAAGATTTAATTTTCTGTCATTTCATTTCACAACTGGCACACAACATTCAAAAGACAATCAAATATTCCAAGTCTTGATCCTCAAAACACAAGGAAAAGTAATTTTTAAAACCCTGCAATTGACTTTGTCTGGGAGACTAGATTATTCATCAATGACTGAACTGAAGCTGAGGGTGAAGCAAACTCTCCACAAAAATAAGAACATTAATTGGATATTGTATTTTAAAATCTAACGACTAGCTATTGGTTGCCTCCTAGGAAATAATGGAAGTATGGATGCTACAAGTTGCTGTTTATGGAAAAGAACAGCTTCTTTCAACTTTGATGACAGAAGACTAAATAGTCAATAAACAGGTTTCACTATAGAAGACGCCATCATACAGGATGAGTTACTGTGCTGCACATGCAGAACAGCATTTAATAAAGCATTTCTAAATGGCAGTTTTCTCTTTGCCTGCAATCTAGGACAGTTTTATAATTCAGAAAAATAGTAAATGAGATTTGGCGCTTTCAAATTCTTTTCACCCTGTCAACCCAGCCTGAACCCTTACAAACTTGCTAGCTGAGTTTAAGACATAGGGTGTATTTTGCCCTAGGTTTGTTTGGGTTACGAGAGAATTCTGTGAAAACAAGCAGTCTCAGAACCAGCCCCAGTGGCCAGGCTAGCTTCAATTTGGGGGTAAGTTTCACTGCAAGCTATTCTCTTAAAATAAAAGCTAGGGTCTTCTTTCTGGCAAGCCAATCCACACAAGTTTTAATGCCTGTTTTAAGGCAAGAATCATGCTTTCATATTCACAGAGCAATCAAATACTACATAGAGATGTGCACAAAAAGCCTGTTCTGGAAGTCACAAGTGATGTGCCGACACCTATAGCATCATTCTACTCGACGTAATTATACCAATAGAATCAGCTTACAAAGTTTGAGATTGTTTGAAAATGGAACATTTGAAATAAAACAACTCCTAAATATTTATCAAAACAGCTAACTCCATTAATGCTATCACTTCTTAATAAGTAATTTCAGTACATATCTCTCTCACTACATAAAACTATAGTTACCTTCTATAGGTAACTATAGAAATAGGTAGGTAAATTTTACGGATTTCAATTTCATTTGTCTTACTAGGAATTTTCCAAGTTCCCTAAACGTCCCTAGACCCTAAAGATGAGCAGCGAAAGGTACCAGCGAACTTTCACCGACAAATCTCCAGATGCAGTTTTCACTGCAACAGAAATTAAAATAAACTGGTAGAAGGAGAGATGAGCTTGTAGAGGGTGGATGAAAACATATTTTAGCCCTCACACAATCAGCATCTTTTACAGAAGATAAGCATGTGACAGCATGCAGAACCAGAATAAAACATAAGTAATGAAGAATCTTTGCCTTCAACAGTTTTCATAACAACTAATATTAATTTTAAATACTTACTACATAATTACTGCAACAATAAGAGGAAAACTGTACCTTTTAGCATCATACCTTCAGGTTTTCACATTAAAATGAATATAGCTGTACGTACTCTATCCTTTCTTTTCCCTTGACATACAGCAGACATTTTAAGTTTTCTCTACACATGTAAGAATATTATTCTAGTACAGCATATTACATCAAGATAAGGATGATATGCTTTAAGAATTTCATCTGCTTTAACTAAATAGAGTGTTTAATTGTATTTCAGGTGCAGCTTATGTGTAGTCAAAAATGACATCTTCCTATTACAAACATATCCATTCATAACTCCCCTTCCTAAGTGTATTATATACCAGCAAAAAAAAAAAAAGGGTAAGTACTGTTCCCATATACTTTTGCATAAAAACAGAATTGTTAACTCTCAAGAAATTTGGAAGAATTCACCATCAGAAGGTAGAGTCATCCCCTCCTCAGAAACCACCAAGATCAGAAATACATACCTTAGGTGTATTATGTATCTTAGCTAGTGTTCAACGAAGGCAACTTACTTAAGCACATGCCTAAGTGTCCAGAGGCTGGCACTAATTTGTCCAGCAATGTACCTGGAAACATATAGAATGCCAAATCTCTAGCGCGGGCGCACACACACACACACTTGGGGTGGGAGTCCTTGCAAAAGCAGATCAACCTTACACCACAGGAAACCTCAGGCAACTCCACACAAGACCTGTAACTGCCAAAGCATTTCACACAGCTGATGTCAATACAGGTTGCCTGAGCAACTACATATCTAGCTCTGGAATGGTGCCTTTTTCTCCTCCCTTCACCCATTTTCACACCATTCAGGGTCATGCCCTGGGCTCCATCCCAATCTTCTAGGTATTGGCACACCTACCTATGCCAGTATCTGGGCCAATAGTTTAGATAAAGCCATTAAAAATGCAACAGTATTTTGAGTCATCAGAGTCTGAAACAGGGCACAGAGTTCAGAACAGAAAATGAAATTTGCTGCAAACATTCTTATTTTGGAATGTCTTATCAAAATCAAAACCAGACGCACCTGAAACTCATAAGCAGATCAGTTTCTGGCTACAGTTTTGCTGCCCTGAGCAGCAAAAGTAACCAAAACTATTCTACTGTTTTTCCACTCCTATTCAACTGGATAAAATAAACAGGTCGCATTCAGAAACACAATGAGCACCACCATGTGAAGGATTGTATCAACTCACTTGCATATCAAATGAACATGACCACTGCCAACACATCTTAAGAACGAACAAACAGGTGGCTAAGTACAAGAAGAGGAACAAATATCATTTTTTAACTGCAATGCAGAAAGGTAGCAGTGGAGTTCATCCTATTAACTAAGACAGAAAATCAAACAAGTAAATAAGAAGTTGCACTCAAGTACAAGCACTCAAGCATCTCAAACACTGTATGCAGTTCTAGCACACATATACAACTCAGTAAGCAGATACGGTCTTCTGCAAAGACAGTCACTGTGCCATTTGCAGTATGAACGAGAGGGAACAATGTTCATTACAGTGACATACTTTGGGGGAAGGAAGTGGAGACAAGGAGGGGAGTTATTTATTGAGTATTAGGAGACACTTTGTGGAAGTTGTTTGCCATAGTTAAATAAAAACTGCTGAGAAGTAGCATTGAAGTTCCTAACCTGCTATTACAGGATTTTCATAGAAAAGTGAAAGCCTGTTGAAGTAAGAGGGAAAAGACCCTGTAAGTATTAGTAATAATCATTGACCAAAACACGTAAGCATAAGTAGGACCACGTCCCTCTCCCCCCACAAAGCACAGTATGAACTCAATTTGCTTAAGTTACAATTACTGGTAGACAGACACACTTCTGTCCACGCACAGGTCTATTATTCTCTGAAAACAAGTCTCATTAGTGCTAATAAATAAAATTTACAATGAGGAAATTGGACTCTCTCACCTGATAATTTCAGAACTCTACTTCTTATTAACATGTACTTGCAACATGCTGCTGTAAGTAATTACTGACACCCAGGAGTCTTTTTTATTGCTTCTTAAAAAGGCAGAAAAACAGGCTTACTTTCCTAATATTATTATTCAGAATAAACAACTTCCATTAAATGCTTTTTTCATAATGCATGTTGTCTATTCACATAAGATAAAAGCCTAATACTCACTTTATTCTTTCAAAGTGCCTTTCTTTGAAAGGGCTGAAATTGAAGAATCAGCTTAAAATGTCTTGCCCAAAAGTTAAAACTGAGATGCACTAGAGTAATACAGGGATTTTATATCAAAAGTCTCAGCAGAGTAGCACAGAAATAGAAAACAAACTCACTACAGGGATGAGAAAAAAAAAAAGATAAAACACTGCAAGGTCACATCAGAGATAGAAGAAACTACACGATGTTATGAACAGTAGACAGAAAATTCTGGAAGTAAGAAACACAGATACCAACAGAAACAAAGAACAACATGAAATGCGTAAGAATTTAGCAGCATGGTTCACTTCTAGGTGAAGGGAGGCTAAGCTATAACCACATTTTGACAGCATTTCCCCAAAAAAAAAAAAAAAAAAACGGACCCACAATCCAGATGAGAGATATAGGAGGAGATCAAATATGAAATCAAGGGCTTATGAGCTCTGGAAATACATATTTACCAAAATATAAAATGAAGGTGAGAAAAGTGCAAATGAGTTATACCAGCACAGTAGCAGAAAGCACAGATGACAGAAACGAGGAAGACCAGGAAGAACAAAAGAAAACCCCAACGGAGATGTGAAGCATCTTTGAGATTAAGTGGACTCAAAAAAAACCCTACTGTCAGCATTGGTCATACTATTAGAGACCTGAAAAGGATACATGATGGATATGCTTGTAACTAATGGGTTATAAAGAACTTTTATCTGATCCAGGCATGCAAAATTATGAAAAGCAAATTATGATCATACGGATCATGCATGAACAGGAAGAAACACTGTGTCACAGGGCCAAAGCAGACAGCCTATATCAGCAGTGTGAAACCAAGCTCATTCGCTTATAAACTGGCAGTTACAACCACAGGAAGAAAAACGATAAAAGCAGCACTCTGCTACTGGAGAAACAGAATAGTGAAGTTTTAGCATAAATAAGCAGCAGTTTCTCCAATTTAGTTTCTGCATTCTAGTCTGCACGTTGAGGTCACCAGGGTGGGAGACTTTTACTGCATTCTTCTTAAAATTCTGCAAGCATCACACTTTATTGAAGACTGTATTGTAAAATGATACTTCATCCTTTCTGGAAGAGTACAGTCTATACAAGTTAAACACAGGCAAACCTAATTCTTGAAACAAGGGTAGTTATTTTTACTTTTGTTTTTTCTCCTTCCCCTCCTCCCTGCAGTTAGCCATTAGAAAAAAAAAAAAAAAAAGGTTTGACAAATGGAAAATGGAGGTCTTAAGCAAATTTTCACATGTTCACCTTGGCTTTTGAGAGAATTGTCATGTAAGGATCCCCAGATGTCATGTTGTGTGCTCTACATCATTACCCTTGACAGATGAAAGCCATTATTTACATGATTTTTGTGGCCAGATAATTACTAGCTGAACACTACTGGCATTAGGAGCACTGAGGCTAAAAGGAGGCCAGTAAATTAATGGCACCATTCTAGGATAAGTTAGGACACAGGTTGAACTACCAGTCTTCCACTGAACTCTCACAATACAGAGCCATACCAGACATATGGAAAAAGTAATGCCACTATTAACCATACTAAACAGTATTACTTAAACATTTTTGTTACCAAACTGCCAACTGTGCAGCCTTGAGGAAGAATTCACTACTATTTTTTTATTTATTTTTTTAATTCTAAGCTTGGATTTCACATCCTCTGTATTCTCAAAAGACCATTTAAAATTAGATCCAAGATCCAAGTAGTCTATTATAAAATGCTATCTATAGGTATGATGTCATTCCTTGAAAGGACGGTTCTCATCTAAATGCATGACAAGATGAAAAAGTTATTTTTATTTTTGACAGAAGAAACCCCAAAAGAGAAATTAAGAATTTTCCATCTTGCTTGTGGAGAATAGTCTCCTATCTAAGAAAACCATCAGCATCACGAAGCTAGTTTAAGGCTTGCAAAGGTGCGAGTTGCTTTACTTCTTTCTACAAATATTGTAATAGCCATTAAAATACTTCAGAGTTAAATCTGAAAAACGACACTCATCTCAAAGGAGTCTAAAATTTTTTTCTAACAACTCCAAGACCCAATTTGCTGCTCTTCCTTTTAGAAGCCATGTGAAAATTAAATAAAATATTTTTTAAAAAATCTTAGACAGACTTATAAACACTGGAAAGCGAGACGGCTGTAGCATTGGTTCTATGCCATTAGATAGCCAGGTCACAAGCTGTGTCTGAGCACATATTGATCTCCACCGATGAGGATCAGTGATCAATGCCAGCAGGACGCCTTTGGCACACGCAGGCGGGTGACATCGTGTGCTGTGACGTGGCACACAGCTGCCCAAGACTTCACAGCGTGTCCGACTGCTGCCCCACCCTGCCGTATCACAAATCTCCCTTGCAACAGGCGATCATCAAGCTTCAGCAGGTAACCAGAAGGGAGAAGCTAGCCAGATTAAAAAGCCATTCAATAATGCCCAGGGTCCCCAGTCACTGGGACACTGCATTCACCGTGGACTTCAAAGAGGCGCTTTTTCCACAATGAAGCAGCAAAGCAGTCTGTTCCAAAACTCCAGTTTTCCTTCCACTCAGCAATTTTCTATTTAGATGTATCTATTACTTTTACTTCAGCATGTTAATCTATGAATACACTACAGACTCACATACTGAAATCACAGTCCTTGCCTCTTAGCAGTAACTGCTTTCATTACTGAAAGTCACTCTGTCCTAAAAAAAGTCTAAGCAATTAAAAAAAATGAAAAAACACTCTTGTGTAATGTATTTTGCATCTTAATGTGTAATTGTATTAAGATAGAAAATAAAAAATAACTATTCAATGCTTCAATTTCAAGTGCGCTTATGAGATTAACCTGAACCTAGCCAGTGTCAGATAGAAAAATAATGCCAGAAGGAAAATGGTTGAGCACATAATCAGAATCATTGTAAGTATGGTCCACTCCATCCACCCGTAGGTACAGGAGTAAGTTCTTGTAAAGAATAGCAATAAGCCACAACAGAATTTATAGTCACACAGAACAATGAAAAATATTAAGACAGGTCAACATGTATATCTTGGTAACAAGAGCACAAGTGGAAAAAAAGTCCTTACAGACTTATTTGGACATAATCTAGAACACAGTTCTACAGAAGGGCTTGCAAGGAAGGAAAAAAAGTTGTATTGAAGAATTTGTACTGAAGAATGTGTTCTCCTTTACAAAACTGTTCTATCTTTCCTTCCCCACCTCAGAATTGGGCAAAGACTACTGTTTTCTAAAATGTAATTTTTATCATTTTAGATTTGTAGCTGAACTTTAGGCACTAAAGATTTGAAGCTAATCTATCTGAATAATCAATGTTTAAGTTACTACTGTTAAGCCTCTTCACTAGTAAGAGCAGTCCTACCCTACTTATTCTCAATGTTAAGCATTAAAGATCACTTCAAAAGAGAAGTACAAACAATTTTTTCCTGTTTTGTAACACCAAACTACCAAGTGGCAGGTGTGCAGTAATGCACTGAAATTTAAGGAATTCTTCATTATGAGCAGATCTACAAGATAAGGAATAGGTCACGGCATAAGAGAATCCTGCATGGTTGCACAGGTGAAAGCAATCCAGTACGGAAACATTTCAACACTAACACCAAACGCTGATCTTTCTTCAGGCACTAATGCAGGAAAAAAAAAAAGATGTTTTTTTAATATACATATATGTAATTTTATATATATGTACACTCATATGGTATACATATAAACATGCAATATTACATATACATTTAATTAAGATAGGCAACAAAGGTTCCAAACTGTTATTGCATTCTCATGCTAAGAAGGTTGATAAAACCTTTTTATGACAGTAAGGATTAATAAAAGGTTTTGTATCTATCTGGTTAATAATAAATTGGCCAGAATATTCTAGAACATCCACTGCCACAGTATAAACTGCCCACTAATCCAGAACAGGGTTCAACAATGACTTGAGTTCAGAAGGGTATCTATTTTTATGAAAATGGTAAAAATTTTACCTGCATTTCACTGCAACCAGCTTCTAAGTTAAGCAAGCAGTGAGTTTGGAGCAGGAGTTTGGAACAGAGGCCTTCAGAGACTCATTCCAACCAAAATCAAGCGTATGATCCTTTGGCTAAAATCAGATGGCACAGACCAGAACTCACTACTGCAAAAGGCATAGACTTTTTTTTTAATATATATTGGTTTGTATTACTGTAAAATAGAAGAAAGCAGACTTCAAAATTATAAGAGGTAAAAGCAGAACACAGTTCTACATGGTTCCTTGCACATCCTTAGATGAAAATCACATAAAGTAACTACATGAAGATCAGCATTTAGGTAGCACGTTTTTTCCTCTTTACCAGTATAACATAACCTGAGTGCCTACACACTTCTGTAGTGATAATAATCACATATAATTAGAGATGCAAGAGATACGCTACAGTAATGCTGGTTATGATTCAACAAGTATTAGCCAATGGGAATTCCATAGGTTTTCTAATAAATACTGCAGTAAAATGCTAATTTAAGCCTGAAGGTTTTTAAACTCTTTGTCCTATACCACAATTAAAAAAATATATATATGTAAATATACTTTAACTCTTATAAGTCTTATAAGTGAGGATTAACCACAAGCATTCTTAACTACAGTTTCAGAATTATTTAGCTGACTAAACAAGATGCCACACAGACAGCACAGTAAGTTTTTGCAAGTTAATTAACTTATAAAAGTCAAACTCTTCATCTTCCTTCTAACTATTCAGAACTAAGAAGCACTAAGAGCAAAGGTACCTAAGCACAGAGTTCAACAGAAGAAGTCCACATTCATAAACAGTTCTTTCTACCTAACAAGACTCTTAATCTACTTTAGTGCTGCTGTTTCAGATTAGTCAAGCGTATTTTCCACACAATGCACGATTCTCATTTTCATCTCCCTCCTAAATATGGACCTCTCATGAGGAAAATACAAGATAGACCTTCTGTTTGTCCCATATCTTAACAAAGGGAAAAAAATAGTAGTATTTCATTTTAGCTTCTTACTCTATGGTATGGTGTGCAACGAACTTAAAGATAGGTCTAAGAATAAAAAGCTAAAGAAGAGCTTTCTGAATGTTCTTTCATTGCACAAAAGGCAAACAAGAGAAAAAAAAACTGAATAAAAAGATTACAGGAATTCATCAAAACAAATTTATGGGAAATTTTAGACACAAATTCCTGATCATGGAGAGTATTTTATTACTTTAGTATTGCAGAACCAGTCAAGAGTCCTTTGCCCATAATCCACACAATTATTATCAATGTTTTATTATTCTGTGAATTGCTTCTTTTAGAAGAGGGTGGAAAGAAGGTAGTGGCATTTTTTTAAACTTATTCAAACTTCCCCAAAAGGTCAAGGTCATCGTTCTGTAGAGGAAAAGCTTTCAGTTTCATTTATTAGTTTTCCTGTATGAAGGAAAAAAAAAAACAGAGAGAGAGAGAAAGACACATCCTGTTGAGAACAACCTTCAACACACAGCTAGAAAACCAAATGTATGTATGTATTAACATCTCTGTTTATGCTGCCCAGGATATTAAACTCTTGCAAAGCTATACTCATCGTACCTCAAGAGAAAAGAGAAGGCATTCCCTCCACGAAGAATAATGCCTTACATGTAGATGAGGCACTTAAGGCCTTTAGCAGGTATGGTGTTGACGGACTTACGATTGAAGCCGATGATCTTGAAGGCCTTTTCCAACCATAATGATTCCATGATTCTACATATGTTGGGAGCATACATAACTGCTTTGAGGTCACAGGTGTAATTTATGTGGAGGAGGATATGAGCTTCATTTTTTTACTGAGAGGATTTAGGCATGCCAGATTCCTTCCCTATCAGGAAACTTCAGAAAATTCCCTTCAATTTATGCTCTACTGTCACGATGCACTCCATTTTTTTCCACAAAAATTAGTTCCTCTCTTCAGCACACTCCACTAAAGTAAGACACTTCTGCAAATTAATAATTTTTGACTAATACAGATAAAAGCATAAAATAAAATGCTCAAACACACACAGCCTGCAACTGTGCTGTTTTTTGTCAACTAAATTGACTAAAGATTTGCACGGGGCCAGGTTAAATATATTCTAAAAGTACAAAAGCAACCAGTCCCCAGGCAGATGATTCATCAGAAACCCCAGTAACTGCTCACCTAGCTAAATGCCAGGTGTGATACTCACACACAGCCAAGATTTTAAGAAGGAACGCCAGCAAAGACGCTAAAGCGGCAGACACTACGAGGAGATGGCGTCAGAACGAAAAATAAATAAAATAAAAATAAATATAAAACGAGGCGAGTGTAAGGCTTTTCGGCTTTATTCATTTCGTGTGAAGGCGCCATGAGAGGCCACATGGGCCGCGACAGCGCCTGGGCCGTTATCTCAACGGCCGTTACCCCGCGGCCGTTACCTCAACCGCCGCCCCCCCCCCCCCCCCCCCGG